AAGGGGTGAGTGGCAAATATTGTAAAATTTGAATTATCACAACTTTCGGGCCGAAATTGTAAGGGCCGGGTGGTTCAGTATTTTGAAGGAAAAAATATATTTTTTGAATAGGCTAGTTTCCCCACAATGAATGTACATACATGCCATTAGATGGATCCTGACCCCCATATCCCTTTGAAAGGGGTGTAGGGGCAAATATTGTAAACATTGAATTATCACAACTTTCGTGCCGAAATTGTAAGGGCCGGGGTGGTTCAGCATTTTGGAGGAAAATATATATTTTTTTAATGGGCTAGTTTCCCCACAATAATGTACATACATGCCATTAGATGGATCCTGACCCATATATCCCTTTGAAAGGGGTGTAGGGGCAAATATTGTAAAAATTTGAATTATCACAACTTTCGGGCCGAATTGTAAGGGCCGGGGTGGTTCAGCATTTTGGAGGAAAATATATATTTTTTTTTAATAGGAGCGTTTCCCCACAATGAATGTCCATACATGCCATTAGATGGATCCTGACCCCCATATCCCTTTGAAAGGGGCGTAGGGGCAAATATTGTGATAATTTTGAATAAACACCATTTCAGGCCGAAATGGTAAGGGCCGGGGTGGTTCAGCATTTTTGAGGAAAATATTATATTTTTTTAATAGGCTAGTTTCCCCACAATGAATGTACATACATGCCATTAGATGGATCCTGACCCCCATATCCCTTTGAAAGGGGCGTAGGGGCAATATTGTGATAATTTGAATAAACACCAATTTCGGTCAAATGGTAAGGGCCGGGGTGGTTCAGCATTTTGGAGGAAAATTAATTTTTTTGAATAGGCTAGTTTCCCCACAATGAATGTACATACATGCCATTAGATGGATCCTGACCCCCATATCCCTTTGAAAGGAGTGTAGGGGCAAATATTGTAAACATTTGAATTATCACAACTTTCGTGCCGAAATTGTAAGGGCCGGGGTGGTTCAGCATTTTGGAGGAAAATATATATTTTTTTTAATAGGCTAGTTTCCCCACAATAATGTACATACATGCCATTAGATGGATCCTGACCCCCATATCCCTTTGAAAGGGTGTAGGGGCAAATATTGTAAAAATTTGAATTATCACAACTTTCGGGCCGAAATTGTAAGGGCCGGGGTGGTTCAGCATTTTGGAGGAAAATATTTTTTTTTTTTAATAGGCGTTTCCCCACAATGAATGTCCATACATGCCATTAGATGGATCCTGACCCCCATATCCCTTTGAAAGGGGCGTAGGGGCAAATATTGTGATAATTTGAATAAACACCAATTTCAGGCCGAAATGTAAGGGCCGGGGTGGTTCAGGATTTTGGAGGAAATATTAATATTTTTTTAATAGGCTAGTTTCCCCAATGAATGTACCTACATGCAATTAATGGATTCTGACCCCCATATCCCTTTGAAAGGGGCGTAGTGGCAAATATTGTAAAATTTGAATTATCACAACTTTCGGCCGAAATTGTAAGGGCCGGGGTGGTTCAGCATTTTGAGGAAAATTTTTTTTTTTTAATAGGCTAGTTTCCCCACAATGAATGTCATACATGCCATTAGATGGATCCTGACCCCCATATCCCTTTGAAAGGGGCGTAGGGGCAAATATTGTGATATTTTGAATAAACACAATTTCAGGCCGAAATGGTAAGGGCCGGGGTGGTTCAGCATTTTGGAGGAAAATATTATATTTTTTTTGAATAGGCTAGTTTCCCCACAATGAATGTACATACATGCCATTAGATGGATCCTGCCCCCATATCCCTTTGAAAGGGGCGTAGTGGCAAATATTGTAAAAATTTGAATTATCACAACTTTCGGGCCGAAATTGTAAGGGCCGGGGTGGTTCAGCATTTTGGAGGAAATATTAATTTTTTTGAATAGGCTAGTTTCCCCACAATGAATGTACATACATGCCATTAGATGGATCCTGACCCCCATATCCCTTTGAAAGGGGTGTAGGGGCAAATATTGTAAAAATTTGAATTATCACAACTTTGGGGCCGAAATTGTAAGGGCCGGGGTGGTTCAGCATTTTGGAGGAAAATATTTTTTTTTTTTAATAGGAGCGTTTCCCCACAATGAATTCCATACATGCCATTAGATGGATCCTGCCCCCATATCCCTTTGAAAGGGGCGTAGTGGCAAATATTGTAAAAATTTGAATTATCACAACTTTCGGCCGAAATTGTAAGGGCCGGGGTGGTTCAGCATTTTGAAGGAAAAAATTTATTTTTTGAATAGGCTAGTTTCCCCACAATGAATGTCATACATGCCATTAGATGGATCCTGACCCCCATATCCCTTTGAAAGGGCGTAGGGGCAAATATTGTAATAATTTGAATTACACAACTTTCAGGTCGAAATGGTAAGGCCGGGGTGGTTCAGCATTTTGGAGGAAAATATTAATTTTTTTGAATAGGCTAGTTTCCCCACAATGAATGTACATACATGCCATTAGATGGATCCTGACCCCCATATCCCTTTGAAAGGAGTGTAGGGGCAAATATTGTAAACATTTGAATTATCACAACTTTCGGGCCGAAATTGTAAGGGCCGGGGTGGTTCAGCATTTTGGAGGAAAATATATATTTTTTTAATAGGAGCGTTTCCCCACAATGAATGTCCATACATGCCATTAGATGGATCCTGACCCCCATATCCCTTTGAAAGGGGCGTAGGGGCAAATATTGTGATAATTTTAATAAACACCAATTTTCAGGCCGAAATGGTAAGGGCCGGGGTGGTTCAGGATTTTGGAGGAAAATTATATATTTTTTAATAGGCTAGTTTCCCCACAATGAATGTACCTACATGCAATTAGATGGATCCTGACCCCCATATCCCTTTGAAAGGGGCGTAGTGGCAAATATTGTAAAAATTTGAATTATCACAACTTTCGGGCCGAAATTGTAAGGGCCGGGGTGGTTCAGCATTTTGAGGAAAATATTAATTTTTTTGAATAGGCTAGTTTCCCCACAATGAATGTACATACATGCCATTAGATGGATCTTGACCCCCATATCCCTTTGAAAGGGGCGAAGGGGCAAATATTGTGATAATTTGAATAAACACAATTTCAGGCCGAAATTGTAAGGGCCGGGGTGGTTCAGCATTTTGGAGGAAAATAAATATTTTTTTTAATGGGCTAGTTTCCCCACAATGAATGTACATACATGCCATTAGATGGATCCTGACCCCCATCCCTTTGAAAGGAGTGTAGGGGCAAATATTGTAAACATTTGAATTATCACAACTTTCGTGCCGAAATTGTAAGGGCCGGGGTGGTTCAGCATTTTGGAGGAAAATATATATTTTTTTGAATGGCTAGTTTCCCCACAATGAATGTCATACATGCCATTAGATGGATCCTGACCCCCATATCCCTTTGAAAGGGGTGTAGGGGCAAATATTGTAAAAATTTGAATTATCACAACTTTCGGCCGAAATTGTAAGGCCGGGGTGGTTCAGCATTTTGGAGGAAAATATTTTTTTTTTTAATAGGCGTTTCCCCACAATGAATGTCCATACATGCCATTAGATGGATCCTGACCCCCATATCCCTTTGAAAGGGGCGTAGGGGCAAATATTGTGATATTTTGAATAAACACCAATTTTCAGGCCGAAATTGTAAGGGCCGGGGTGGTTCAGCATTTTGAGGAAAATATTATATTTTTTTGAATAGGCTAGTTTCCCCCACAATGAATGTACATACATGCCATTAGATGGATCCTGACCCCCATATCCCTTTGAAAGGGGCGTAGGGGCAAATATTGTGATATTTGAATAAACACCAATTTCAGGTCGAAATGGTAAGGGCCGGGGTGGTTCAGCATTTGGAGGAAAATATTTATTTTTTTGAATAGGCTAGTTTCCCCACAATGAATGTACATACATGCCATTAGATGGATCCTGACCCCCATATCCCTTTGAAAGGGAGTGTAGGGGCAAATATTGTAAAATTTGAATTATCACAACTTTCGTGCCGAAATTGTAAGGGCCGGGGTGGTTCAGCATTTTGGAGGAAAATATATATTTTTTTTAATGGCTAGTTTCCCAACAATGAATGTACATACATGCCATTAGATGGATCCTGACCCCCATATCCCTTTGAAAGGGGTGTAGGGGCAAATATTGTAAAAATTTGAATTATCACAACTTTCGGGCCGAAATTGTAAGGGCCGGGGTGGTTCAGCATTTTGGAGGAAAATATTTTTTTTTTTTAATAGGAGCGTTTCCCCACAATGAATGTCCATACATGCCAT